GCTTCCCGCATTACCTCAACATTTGAAACTGTGCCAATTTTGCCAAGTTCTTTCCCTTCCATGAGCTCCTTCACACATGCCCCAGTGGTGAAATCTAGCCTGACCCAGGGCGAGCATTTTAGAATCTGATTTGTTTCTTTCAGCGTTCTTCACTTTTAACAAAAAAAATTCCCATTTGAGCACAGTGCTGCCATATAATCCCAAAGGATTCACATTGGAGACTTTGTGAACGCTCTAAACCAATCTGCTGTTTCGGGTGGGGAAATATGCTGAGACGTCATGTTGAGGTTGTACAGGACGTTGGTGAGGCCTCTTCTGGAGTACTGTGTGCAGTTCTGTTCTCCCTGTTACAGGAAGGATATTATTAAGCCTGAGAGGGTTCAGAAGAGATTTACCAGGATGTTGCCAGGTGTGGAAGTTTTAAATAAAGATTAGATAAACTGGGACTTTTTGCACTGGAGCATACGAGGTTGAGAGGTGGCCTTATAAAGGTTAATAAAATCATGGGGGGGTATAGATAGATTTAATGGAGTTGTCTGTTCCCTAGGATGGGGCATTTCAAGACTCGGGGGCACATTTTTAAAGTGAGAGGAGAGAGATTTAAAAAAGACATGAGGGGCAACATTTTTACCCATAGAGTGGTTCATGTATGGAATGAACCTCCTGAGGAAGTGGTGGATGTGGGTACAATTACAACATTTAAAAGACATTTGGATGAGTACATGAATAGGAAAAGGTTTGGAGGGATATGGGCCAGGAGCAGGCAGGTGGGACTCGTTTAGTTTGGGATTATGGTCGGCATAGACTGGTTGGGCCAAAGGGTCTGTTTCTGGGCTGTATGCCTCTATGACTCCAAGACCCTACAGGTTGACATCACTGGTTTGGTTGAGTTTGCAAAAGTGGCAAACAGAATTCAATCCAGAGAAATGCAAGGTGATGCGTTTTGGGGTGGGCAAACAAAGTGAAGGAATACGCAGCAAAAGGGAGGGTGTTGACAGGGCAAGAGGGACCTGGGAGTGCCCGCAGCTCCCTGGAGATGTCAGGACGAGTAGATAAGACGGTAAAGAAGCCAGAGGGGATGCTTCCCTTCATTAGTCAAATGTAGGGGTGTGTATCAGACACTGGTCAGGCCACGGTTGGAGGTTTGTGTGCAGTTCCGGTCACCAATTACAGGAGAGAGAGAGACGAAGAAAGAGAGAGAAAGAGGGAGAGAAGGAGAGAGAGAGAAAGAGACAGGGAGCGAGAGAGACAGAGAGAGAGAAAGAGAGGGGGGCAGAGAGAGAGAGAAAGAGAGCGAAGGAGAGAAAGAGAGAGAGGGAGAGAGAGACAGAGACAGAGACAGAGAGCACGCAGAAGAGATACACAGGAACACTGGCCGGGTTTGAAAACTGCACCGATGAGGAAAGTTTGGAGGCTGGAGATCGTTTTCCTCAGAACGGAGGAAGCCAAACGGTGATTTAAACAGGGCAAACAAAATAATGAGGGACTTAGATAGAGTGGATGGTGGAGATAGGTAGTCACCCATCTGAAGGTGACATCAGCTGAAGGTGAACAATCGATGGATTAGAGCGGTAGTGAGGGAGAATCTCTTTGCACAGAGAAGCGTGTGGGGTGGGGGATGTTTGAAATTCACTGCCTGTTCGCCAATTGAGGTGAAAATCCCCTGTCTCAGTTAAAAGGAACCTGGTCGTGCATCTGTGAGGCTATGGCCAAGGGACCCAAAGAGGGAACCAGAACAGACGGCTAGTTTCTCCAGAGGTAAATGGCATGAATGGCCTCTTTCCGTGCCATGCCCAATTTTTGGAATACTGTGTTCAATTCTGGTCTCAGTGTTATAGGAAAGATGTTGTGAAACTTGAAAGGATTCGGAAAAGATTTACAAGCATGTTGCTGTGGTTGGAGGGTTTGAACTACAGGGAGAGACTGAATAGGCTGGGGCTATCTTCCCTGGAGTGTCGGAGGCTGAGGGATGGCCTTATGGAGGTTTATAAAATCATGAGGGAATCGGATAGGGTGAGTAGCCAAGGTGTTTTCCCCAGTGTAGGGGAGTGCAAAACCAGGTTTAAGCTGAGAGGGGAAAAGATTTAAAAGGGCCCTGAGCTTCAACTTTTTCACGCAGAGGGCGGTGCGTGTATGGAACGAGCTGCCAGAGGAAGTGGTGGAGGCTGGTACAATTACAACATTTAAAAGGCACCTGGATGGGTACATGAACAGGAAGGGTTTAGAGGGATATGGGCCAAATGCTGGCAAAGCGGACCAGATTGATTCCGAATGTCACGGACAAAAGTTGGACCGAAGGGTCTGTTTCCGTGCTGTACAACTCCATGAGTCTCCCAGAGGAGTTGGTGCTACCCTGGGGAGTTATCAGAAAAAAAAGAAACCCCCACCCTCGTGCCCTGCCGAAGTCCCTTTCTGCGTCGATATGTAAATGCAGGACAGACACAATTTGCACTGAGCAGGGCGCAGACGAGAAAGCCCAGGCCGGTTTCTCCCCACACCCTCCTACACCCCGTGACAAAGCGAAATGGGTGAGAGGGGGAGGGGGGGAGGAGGGTGAACGTTTCCCCCCCGCCAGGCGTGGTCATTACCTGACGGAGATTGCGAGTGACCCGGACGTCGTGCCAGCCGTTGTCGTTGAACTTGCCATTGACGGGTTCCACCAAGGCCTCAAACGCGCCGGAGCCCAGGTTGATGACCAGCGAGACAGCTCCGTTCTTTAGCGCCAGGTTGACGTAGTCTGCTGACTTGCCCGTGTGCAGGATGAGCCCGTTACGCTGCAGCGTCCGGAACGACAGCGTGATCTCGTCGCTGCTGCTCTGGATGGGGTTGTGCGAGAGGTCGTAGCAGAAAAACTCGGTGCCCTTGAAGGTGGCTACGGACTCTTCTTTCGCTGCGGGGAGTGGGGGGTGTGGGGAGGTGGAGAGGAGAAAGAGCAACATTTAGACGGCAGGCAGACGCAAGGGCAAAAGTGGCAGCCTTATATACGGCAGACTAATGTCACAGTGCACCAGCACGGCTGTCTGTATCAATATAGTCTCCTCTGAACTCCAATCCTAATCTTAACCCCAGCCCTAACCCAAACCCTAATCCTAAACCTAACC